GTGCTAGGAAAACGCGGTTTGTAGATTCATATTCAGCTGATAAATATAAATATGTGAGAAATGCCTATTAACGGTTACGAGGTAGGAAAAATGTTAAAATTGGTTGAACAGTGTTATCGGTAGTTCTACTGTTAATAACAGGATGATAATTTTTCAATTAACTCGCAGCTATCGTACTAGAATTAAACATTTCATTAAATTTCACAAACTGTAATTTTAATCATTTTACAAATAGATTTTATTAATTTATAAATGCATTGAGTTCGGGGGCTCTAGAGCCCCTTACCATTTTAGTGTCAATACCCGACGTTACCGATAAAGCATGATTTATAAGTATGTATGTATTATTAGCACAACTGGAGCATTATGTATTCCGTTCATATTGCGTGTACTTAAAATGATTTGGCGGGAAGGAAAATATCCGTCGCTTCGATTCATAGGATGAATATGTCACTTATGGTACATGGTGAAAGAAAGTATATATTTTTTCATATATCTATAAGGTAACTTGACATATTTATAAGGAACCTGAAGATTACTTTAGATTCCTTCCCTTATTCTGGAAATCTTTAAACTGGAATACGAGAGGTGCTGTAATTATGAACATATTGAAAGAATGTTAATATAAATGGAACTTTAAAACTTTTCCAAGTTTCATTTGTTCCAGCTGGCTTAAATATTTTAACTTCGTAAACTTTGCACACGCATGTATTAACACTGTAGTTATCTGTATCAACAGGTTTCTACAGATACTTTTGCCGAAGTCTATTAATCGTGGGGTATAATAGTATCTGGAGAAACTGCCATCGTTGCTGCGGCTATGGCCATATAATTGAAATCCATAAATAAATGGATAACAATTCGGTGAAAAACTTACGAAAACTTAAAATTTCGGCGACTGTTATCCATTTGTTTATGGAAAATATGGGATAACGGTGGTGATAGGCTTATTAAACAACGCATATGTAGCATTTAATTGTTTTTTATTTAAATAATCTTCAAAGAATGTACAATTTACAATAGTATTTGTATAAATTTAGTAACAGTTGTCTTAAATACTACTTATATGTACAATTTTACAATACACTTATAATATTTTTATAAATTCAGTAAAAGTAGGCTTCAATATCATTTAGACTTATAAAATAGTGTAATTTATCCATCACAAATAATTCCCTCTTGTGTAACTTGCAAATCTTATATCTGATTTTCAAAGCTTCATGAAGGTTTCATAAGTTTGTCTCCAAAATTTTCATTGAACTTCAGTTAAAATCGCGTTCAAAATAAGTTTAATGTTAAATTTCGCGAGGAATTTGAATCTCAAAAAGCACAGGAAAAAACAGCAAAGTCAAGAAATTTGGATTTTTATGGTAGCTACCTGATGGCGGAAACTGTAACTAAACTTGAAACATTTTAATCTAGTTCGAGGAAGTCGCCGCGAGGTGGCGCCACAGTATCGATCTAGCAGTTTCCCGCGTTTTTCGAAGTTTCAAAATTAGTTGCGCCGGCTACTATCAGATGGCGACTACAAAAATTGAAATTTTTCAAAAGTTTCGGAATTCATTATTTTACTACTATGTATTGTTATTAATACTTTTTGGACAAAATTAAGTTAGGTATAGGAGAGGAAATAATGCTGGGATTAATGAATAACGCATATGTATCGTTTATTGTTTTTTATTGAAGAAAGTGTGAAAAAATCTACAACCTACAATAGTATTTGTTTAAATTTAATAACAATTGCCTTAAATACGACTTATACATACTTTTTTTACAATACACTTATACCTAATAATATTTCTATAAATTCAGTAGAAGTAGTCTTAAATACAGTAATTCCTTCTTAATTTCCACGTTACTAATAATTCCTTCTTCTGTAACTTGGAAATCTTTCGTAAGATCATCAAAGGTTTATAACGTTTTCGTAAGTTTGTCACCGAAATTTCCATTTCTGACGACAGAAGATACATGTGCGTAATGCAGTATTCCTCTGCCAGATTCAATCTGTTGTTTTTATATGTGGGTGAAAGGAGAATAGGACGGTAGTGAAATGACGAATCGACACGCGCTTATAAATGTAGTCAAAGGAAAAGGAACAGTTCCGAATATGTACATATTTCCTTTATACACCGAATATGTACTCATTTTCACCTTTTTTTTACATTCTTCGCAATGTATCCCGTTTACAGTTGAAGCTTGATAATTAGAGATCTGTTAATTGATCGCTAGGAACAGCCCTCGCTCCACGTATTTCTCTCACGCATGCGCGCACCCACTCTGTCGCCCAGCACGGAACGAACATAATACATACGGTGTCGCGTTCAACTCGCATATTTTTCACACACAGAAAGTACTGTGCAAATAGAATTGGTTTTAATAATACGTTTCAATATTGAATCACTTTTGTGAATAAACTTTTTTTATATCTCTAAAAATAACGGAAATAGTGTGGTGATCAAACAGTGCGTATATCCAGCCCACCCTATATGTAGCTATGTCGAGCAAGCGAACGGACGATTGGTGGGGAGAGCGCGCGTGTGATTGAAGCCCGTTAATTGATCAATTCAAGTGCGTAAATAAAGAGGGTATTTTCTTCCATAAAACTGAAGTTTAATGCAAACGATCGAAACAAATGGTTCTTTTATGCTGTACAAACACGTTGCTTATTTTAAGACCATGAAATATTTAATGTATTTGATGTTACTTGCAACTGAAGAATTTCTAAAGTATCATCCACGTTCACATAAAAATACAGAATTTCTCAGTTTAACTTATTATAACGCAAAAAATGAAATTGTGAAAATGCAGTTATGTACTTAAGAAGCTATCACTAACAGAAATCACGACAATAATATTAATCAGAACAAAAGAAGTGAAATAGTTCTTCTTATTCCTGCATAAATTGCTTTAATATTTATGCAGTACTTGAATGTCTACATTTTTATTGCATGAATCTATTCTTTTAACGATTGCGATATAGTAGACACCAAATATTATGTGTGTCGAATTTTGCGAACCGAAATCAGGTCACTTGATTTAATATCTTCCCTTATGGATTAATTCTTAAATTGAATCTCTTGACTATGAATGATACGGTAGTTCGTTCAACATGTTATTTTGTTGTATATCTTTGTCTAATTTAACTTTCAGACAAATTTATTTGGAATAAAGGAATATGTTAAGGAACTCATGGTATAAGAAATGTCGATGCTTTATTTACGTTTACAGGATGAGCGTACATAGTACAAAGCGTTAGATCTAGGTCACACGTCGATTAGCTGGAAAGAAACAAAGAAATTCATTAATACATTGTATAATGACCCTATATTCAATATTATAATTATCAGAGCATCGTTGATTAAATTGATATTATATGGAAACAATTGACAGAAGAACCTTTATTGTATGAATTAATAAAGAGACATAACAATTCGAATGCAAGAATTTTTTCGTAACAGTAGACTTATTCTTCCTGTGTTGATCATTTTTGTACTTTGAGCGGTATGAAATATTCAAAAAACGATTGTTTCGAAACTGCATTCATTCTGTTTATTATGATTATGATAGCTTGAAATTTTAACCAAATGCCTTCTTTCTTTGACATCATTCTTTCAAAAATCTTAATGAAAATGTGTTCAGGTCATATTTAAAAAGAAAACTTTGACTTCCAACCGATTATACGAGCACGTTACATCGGCCCGAGAACGTATATTAGTTGACAAAATTGTCCAAAATATATTTTTAAAAAGATATGCAGAAATTACAGTTTGCTTGAAAACTTTGACCGTAAATTCATTATCTAGATAAAGAGTTTCGAATAACGGATAAAAGAGAAGAGCAAGTACTTCACCATTTTAGGAAATTCCAATTTTGATAATAAAATAGTATTTTTGCTCGAATGAGTAGACAAGTGGTAAACAATTATTTAATCTCATTATTCAGGATGATGATCTTAGATGCTGTTGTCTTTCACTATATACAGGGGACTCGCGATTATTGTCCCGAACTTGGGTCCGCGCAGGGACTGTAATCGTGAACCACACGAAACGCTTCTTCCTCGTGAATACGTTTTTTGCCCGAAGCTCGAGCCTCGGCAACTCGCCTTTGTAGTATTCCGAACGTAGAAAAGGACAAACCATTGAAAAACAGAGAGAAAGCTTCTTTTCCCACTCGACTCGGCTGCGTGGCCCGCCTGCGACGCTCTCGCCGACCAATGGTTACATTATAGCCGACCACACAGTCCGATTGTGTGTGTACTGTTTCGGCCAATAACAAAAATACGTGTGACTGGAGGTGATACAGCTACATTTTTTTCATCGGCAACTCTCCGGGCAGTCGCTGACGATTGAACGCTTCGACTAAACGTCGTACATTCCCCCACTCTGTCCGTCGAGTCCAGCGAACGTATACATTGTTGTCCGACGCGCGAGACAACGCTAATGCAATGATGAAACTTTTTTATTTTTGATTAGTTGTTAATGAAACTTTTACTAGTATATTGGTGAGATTGTTCTAATTAAAATGATACCAAATATGACATAATTTGAATCATATTTACTCATGTAGAAACTGTTAATAGTTCATATTAGTTCATTATCGATTCTGATAAATTAGAAGTAAATATGACCGAAATTGTGTCGTGTTTGGTATCATTTTAATCAGAAAAATCTCACCAATTTGTTTATAAAAATTTCATTAATAAAGAATCAAAAATAAAACAGTTTAATCGTTGCATTAGTATTGTCTCATCAACATCCGGGAATGTGACCTTTTTGTGGGCTCTCAACGTTCAGTCGTCGGCTCGTGAACGGGAAGCCGTCTCGGCGCGCCGCGGCAACAAAGTATGCGGTTACCGAGTTCCA